TTTTTTTTTTTTTTTTTTTTTTTTTTTTTTTTTTTTTTGGTACCAGGGAAAAAACGGGTCCTTGCACTTGTGAGGCAGGTGGTAGAACCATTGAGCTAAATTCCCAGTCCTCCCCATATATATGTTGAATTAAACGAGTACATTTGTAACACTACAAAAGAGTTTCTTATTTTTGGTACTGAGGATTGAACTCAGGACCTTGTACTAGTGAGGCAGGTGAGGTGCTGCTGAGCTAAATCCCCAGCTCCACAAAAGGGTATTTTTAAAATGAATATTTAAAATCTAAAATCCACAAATACTACATATTCAATGTAAAAACAGATAATAGAAGATGAAAGCAAAAACATTGCTTCTTTCTATGGTATAATTTTTAGGTTCTGATATGAGGTATATAAATGATTCATGTACTCATTTTATTTTCTTCTATAGAATGCAGTAAATAAATTGGAGTACAAAAGTCAAACCCACTGTTAATTGATTGGAAGCTACACTGTAGTGACATTGGAAATTAACTGTAAAAACTTAAAATTTCAGAAACTCAATGTGAGAATCCTAGATGACTTTGCCTCATGTGTGGGTCAAATACTAGGAAGATGGAGAGACTATCTGCTTCTTTTTTCTATAAAGTTATTGTGGTACCTCCATGCCCCTTTTTGACATAATCTTGAAGGAAATATACACAAGGGAGTATAGACTTGGAGGTTACGTAGATTTTTTTTATTTTTGGTACCAGCGATTGAACTCAGGACCTTGTGCTTGCCAGGCAGGCTCAGTGCCACTGAGCTACATCCCTGGCCCAGTGACAAAGATTTTAAAAAACAATTGTTGGGTGCCTTTGCATAATGAATACATTATTAAACTCTCTGTAAGTTTCATAAAGAAATACTTGAAGCAGTGCTTAAAATAGTCCTCCAGTAAAGACATCGAGGGAGAAAAAGGGGATGAAACTTTGTCTCAGGATAATTCAGTAGTACAGTGTAAAATTTTTGAAGTGCTTTTATCTGTACTGATTCTTTTTCAGTAAATTTTTGTTTCCTGTGTATTTGTTCAAAGTAGAGAACGTCCCACAAAATCTTACTTGCTGAGAAACCTCTTAATGATTTTGCTTTTGTTGGGAAGCAATAAAAGAGTCCAGGAATCTAATTTGAAAACTTTTTGGATGTGAATATTAGAAAGCTATATATTAAAACTAGAAGGTCAACATTTTTTTTTTCAGAGAGCCATATTTAAAATTTCCCTGATGAATAGACCATGCAATCTTTGTTTAGTGTGACAGAAAGCACCTTTATTTTTTCCCATATGATAGGACATTTAAATGCATTCTGAAAAATCAAAGCAAAACCTGTATTGATCTTGAATGTACTGGATATACTATAAAGTGAACTGTAAATTTAAAGTTTGGGGCTTTTGTTTTTTAATTAACAGATTTGTGCAGTTTGATTTTTTTGTCATCTGGAATATATCTCAAGGGTGGCAGTGACAAAAAGTATCCCATCTCACCCTGGCCAGGTGGTCCTCCAAGAGTATTAGTGTTCAACTGTTTTGCTCTGGAATTTTAGGACTAGGTAAGGACTCCTAAGGCTGCATTGACATTTTTAAAAAGAGGATATTTAAGTCCATCAATCCTCTCTGTTTTACTTTAGAAAATGTGTAAAGAGGGCTGGGGATTTAGCTCAGTGGTTCTGTCGCCTGCCTTGCAAGCACAAGGACCCAAGTTTGATCCCCGGTAGCAAAAAAAAAAAAAAGAATGTGGAAAGAGATTTTCTACGTGTGTATGTATAATGATTGAAATACTTTAAATGTTTAAAGATTTGGAAATAATGTATAAAAAATTTTTTTTTTTTGAGACAGGATCTCACTTTGTAGTTCAGGCTAGCCTTGAATTTAAGAGATCATTCTGCTTCAGTCTACTGAGTGCTGGGATTACAGGCATGTGCCATCACATCCAGCTAAATCATTTCAGAATAGCAATTTTTATGCAGTAAGTTTGATGATTTGCTTCAGAACTACTTGATAAAAATTGCACCACAGAATGTCATGTAGTTTCTAGTACTAAGACTATATTAGACTCCTCATTCCCTATTCCGTGGACATTAAGAAGACTCTTATCACAAACTTTTTTCATTTACCAATTAAATGTTTCATGTACTTTCATTCTATTGTGAAACTCTGTTGATCTACTGGTGAAATGGTTCCTTCTTGGAATTGTTTTATAGTTAAAGCTAGCAATTCTGTCTTAGTTGGGTAAGAGCTGGCATTTCTAGTCTAGGTAATTGAAGATCTGATTGATCATTTGCAGAATGAGGTGAACATGTCATATGTTAAAGAGTGGCTTTATCAGAAGGCTGTTTGTCTAATTGACCCATCAAAGGCAAACTAGTAGGGGCAACAGTTGGTGAGACTGCTGCACTGTGCCACTGTCCATTTGAGAAAATGAGCCTGCAAGCTCAAGTCTGTCTCTGCATTCAGTGGTTTCTTTTACATAGATCTGCAGTAGTCAAAGTTTAATTATTTAAAATAAACCAGATTCAGATTGTTTTAAGTATTCTATAGTTTGACTTTTAGTGTTTTAAGCTGGTAAACAGGTATTGAATATCAAGATATACAGTGTCACCAGTACAAATTAATTGGAGGGGAAGAGAAGGTAGTTTGTTAGAACTATTTTTATGAATGTATGAAATGAATTATTAGAAGCACTATTTGTATACCTGTATTATATAAAGAGTATAACTTTTTGCTTATGGTAATTTCTGTATAATAAGTAAAATGAACAAACTCACTTCTTATATACTAAAATACCTTGAATTCCAAATTAGTAGACACAAAAGTGATAAGGTTTTATGATCCCAGAATCTAGTGTACCTTTTTTCCCTGTGAATTTTAAGTTATATAATTAAAGTGCACTATTTGAAAATTCCTATTTGTTACATAGTTTGAATAATTTTCTGTGCTCATGTCTACTTCTAAAATTATGTGTAAATAAATTTGTTTACTATTTTTGATTACTAGAAATGGTTAAAATGTGATTTTATGTCCTTGTGGAAAATAATTTAGTCCTAAGAGTTATGTATTACAGTATAAAGGAACAGTGCTTTTTCTTGAATAATTATCTAAATGGTAATATTTTATACAGTTTTACATTTTAGTTTATTATAATACATATAATATTAAGTTCTACATTTAGCCCACTGGGAACCGTTAAGAAACATGGATTCAGACACTGTGCTGACATTTTACATACACTTTGAATTATCCAGAATAGAAAACTGGCAGCAGTTTGTCCATACACATTAGCTATGGTTTCTCTCTTAATGGTTTCATGCCTAGGTAACTTTACTGAGTTTAGTCCTGGGCATCTTTCAGCCAGGGACAGGGGATCTTTACAATAAGGAAATAACTGTGCAGGGCTGTGTGCTGAGAAAGCAGGAAAGGGATCTCTACATGTTCGTGTGGTACCTTCTCTAAAATTCTTACCTCATGGTGGTTGAAAACCTGAGGTCAAGACCTGCAGTTTAAATATTGATTTTTGGGGTACAGCTTAACCAAATTAGAAAAATGAAGCCACATAAAATAAGAGCTTTAAGTGTGATTTGAAATTACATATCCAGTGTTTGTACTGCATAAATTCCAGGTACCTCCCAAGTAAATATATGTTCCAGTATTTGAAGAAACAAATATTAGGGATGGATGCATTAGTGTAGGTAGAAAATTTTTAAATTGTTCTGGCTTACCACTTGTGTATATTACTTTCTGAATACTGGCAGTTGGTTTTCTGTATCTTTTGGAAAAACCTAATCTGTGAAAATATACTTCTCTGGGGTTGCGTATCTGGGAAATCAGTGTGATGGAAGTATTCTTTTAAAAGGCAAGGGGTAAGCACTTGTGTAACATGCATGAGTCCCTGGGTCCAAACTACAGTACCAACCCCTCCTCATCCCCATGAGGAGAGTACAAAAGAATTAAAAGTTTTGGATATTCTTATTTTAATTTTCACAATGGATTGGCTACAAGTCTTCATCTGTTTTTGTTTTTTAATTCTCTTTAACCTTTATTTATTTATTTATTTATTTATTTGGTACTGGGGATCAAACTCAGGAACTTATGCTTGTGAAGCAGGGGGGCGGAACCACTGAGCTAAATCCCTGGCTCTTTAACCCTTAATATTTCTCTGAATTCTTAAATGTAACAAAAGGCATATGGAATAAAGTGGCATTTAGGTTTATATTACAATGTCTTGAGTATAAGTGGACTATATAACCATGGAAGAATCCGTTCCCCAAGATACGTGTGTGTGTGTACTGAAGAGTCACATTTGAATTTGGGGAACCACTGTTTTTAGTCTTGTAAGTAGTATGTGTTTTTCTGACACCAGCTTGTGGTCACTACTTGCCTAGTTTGAGGTATCCGGCCTCTCAACAGTCTTTTGGGGAAGGGTAAAAGAGTTGTGATGAGGGACTTGAGAGAAGTAATTCAAAGTTAATTTTAAAAGGCCTCTTCTTTTTATTTTTGTTGTATGTCCAGGATTTAGAAGAATTCTGCTTTAAGTTTTGCATCAATCATTTGACAGAAGTTACACAGACTGCAGCATTTTGGCAAATGGATGGCCCTCTGCTGAAGGAGTTCATTGCTAAAGCCAGTAAATGTGGAGCCTTTAAGAACTGAAGCTGCTGGGGTGTGAGTGTGTGCTCTGGGCACTGTTGGGGATGTGTCCAGCTTGTGTATAGGCAATGTGATTCTGCAGGTAAAACCCATCTGGTGTTTTCACCTTGTCTGACATGGTTCTCCATAGGAATTTATGAAGGATGTATGGCTTTTCCTGAGCCCATTTTAAATGGATGTTTCCAGATACATACATTTTTTTGGGAGGCAGGTACTGGGGATTGAACTTGGGACCTTGCACTTTGTGAGGCAAGTGGCAGAACTACTGAGCTAAATCCCTGGCCAAGATACATATACTTTAAATGTAATCTTTCTTATATTTGAGCTGGGACAATGAGAAAGGTATGAAAATTTGGCTGCTTTTTTGGGTTAGAGGCACTGTGGAATTCAGAAACAGGAAGCTGGTGACAGCTCTGCTGGGTTATGTATCACATCCCTTTGATACCAGGATTGAGTTTGTGAATTGTGAGGTGACCATAGAGGCCCCACCATGAGTTATTGATGCTGACGCCGGGGCTTGGTGAAGTGTTCCATCAGTTGCCATCTCGTAACTTTCTGTGAGGGAGAAGTTAGAAGCATTTGATGCTTTTGTTCATGTGCTTTTGCTATTGATGACTTTTTAAGAGATGTATCAAAATAATATCCCCTTTAACATGAGTTAAACCTGAAATAAGTAATCATTTCTATGCCAAGATTTCTGAAGATTTAAGTAATCAACAATAGTAATTTATAACTGTCCGAAAAGTTGATAATGAAGGAAACTTTGGATACAGGTCAATGTTTTATAATTAGACTCTACTATTTATCCAGTGATGTTTTTATTTCATTAAAGTTGAATTTTAGAACTAAAATTTAATTTTCTCCTTCATTTTTTCCCTTATAAATGCTAGTTGATAAGAGAAAAACAATGACATATATAGAATCCTTTGCCTTTCTACTATGCCTTTCTATTATCATCAGGTCTACTACATTGTGACTTGAAGAAATGGTCCTTGAAAACAACTTTCTTATACAACTTAATGGAATTTGCTTTATATGTTTTGTCTAGGCCAAACTCCATCACAAACTTATTCACAACTTTACTACCTTCCACTTTTGTTTTCTTTATTGTGTTAGGTGTACTCCGGTAACATTTAATGCTGAAAGAGCTGGAAAATCATGGTTTTCCCCAAAAGCTCTTATTTAAAAAGACAGTTGCTTTTGTGGTCTGGTTATGAAATGTGACTTTGTAATTTAAGAGTGTTCACCTTTGGATTTTATCATATGTTCACTGAGCTTGCTTTAAGAACAAAGCTTGGTCCTGCTGTCTGGTTCCTGAACTCGTTTCCATTTGTGTGAGCTCCCTTAATATATTTAATTTCCTGCTTAGAAACACCCCTGCTGGACTTAGTGCCTGAATGTTTTCAGGGCTACATTAGCAACAGGGGAGAAAGTACTCTGCAGCTACTGTTGTAGCAACTCTTTTTTTAGGGGTGGGCAGGTAATGAGGCCCCAAAGGCAGGAATTGTTGATAGGCAAAATAACCGCAAACCTAAAGTCCCAACCCTGTACTTCCTTTTTTTGACCATATCACAAGTGACTGAAGCCCAGTGAATTATTAGGTTAGAATTAGCTCTGCAACGTGATAGTTATTCTTACTAGGATGGTGAATGCATATTAATTTGATAATTAGTGTTTGTCATAGTCACTGTTGTGTAGGTTTATGATCTAAACAAAATGAGCTTCAGTGTATTTACTCTTACTTGAAAAACTTCAAAAGCACAAATTAAAGTAGCAGATCTATATCCAGATAGTTCATTCATTCAAAAAATACTGAGTTCCTAATATAGGTGAAGAACCACTTTTCAGATTACTGAGTAATTTTGTGTGTATGTATGGTAGTGAAGAGAACAAAGTCCTTCAAAAAGTACTTTTTTAAAAAACATACACTGTCTTATTTTTCTACTTGGTTTTGTTGTTAGTCACAGCAGAAGATTAAGACTGTTCTTTAATTTTTTTTCATCTGATGTAATATGGAAACCAAAGTCCTCACATTTCTTAAAATAACCCTGAATGTACTCTTGAGCTTCTTACTGGAATAATGTTTGATACTCTTGTATATAGGCCATATTTATGTAATGTTTAGAATGACATACTAATAAAGTAATCCATTAAGGCAGGCATGTAGAGTTGTTCTTCCACTTAGAAATCAGTCGTGAGCAGCCTCAAAAAGGAAATTTTGACATTGTACAACATGAATTAACTTTGTGGACATCACGCCACAAGTGAAGTAAGTTGGTCAGAAAGACAAATGCCTAAGAAGTCAAGACCACAGAGACAGAAGGGTGACTGCTAGGTGAGGGGGTTTGGGATGGGGAGTTAAGGGTACAGTTTTAGTTTTGGAGATTGAAGAGGTGTTTGGGATGGATAGTGGCTTGTAAATACACTGTACATTTAAAAATTGTACAGATGATTTTCTGTTACACATATTTTAACCACAAAATTTTTTTAAAAATTGGATTATTAGCTGGTATGGGGTAGAAGGAGATACTACTGTAAACATGTGAACTGCTTGATTCCCAATATACACACAGATAAAAACCTTCTAAATCTTTGATTTGTTTGTTTTTGGTACTGGGGATTGAACTTGGGTCCTTGCTCTTGTGAGGCAGGCAGTGGAACCAGAGCTAAATCCCCAGCCCCCTCCTAAATCTTTGGATTTAATTCCTGTTAAAAGATAGCACTGTTGCCGGGTATGGGGGTGCACACCTGTAATCCCAGCACTCCGGAGGCTGATGCAGGAGGATCGCCTCAAATTCAAGGCTAGCCTGGGCTACATAGTGAGTTCAAGGCCAGCCTGAACTACATAGTGAGACCCTGTCTCAGAAAACAAAAGAAAGAGTTGAATTGTCACCATGGAAAAATATACCTGAATCCTTTGGGAGTACTTATATATGAAAGACAGATACGGTTCTTATTCTTTAAGGAACATACAAATTATTAGAGACAAAAGGTCGGGTTATGAATTAACACAGTAAAATATTTATAAAGCTTTTCAAAATAGAGAAAAGTGGGGTTAATGTGACAAGCAGTTCTGAAGGTGGTTTGTACAGTACCAGAGGAAACGTATGGTACAGTTTTAGCTCATCTCCAAAACAGGGTCAGTAGCATGAGCCAAGATTTAGAGGTGATTTAAAGCCAAGATACAGAACATACCTACCATAAGCAAGTTTGTTTGGTTAGAATGGAGAAAATAAGCCAGGCTTATTTTTCTTATTGTTAGAAATGTTTGCAAGGTGACTTTAACTTTTTTTTAACATATTCCCACTGTTCTTATTTAAACACTCCAGTATTAAATTTTGATATGTTTTGAAGATGATGAAATGTCCATGTAAGGAATGTGGCTTAAAAGAAATTTCTAAAGAGCAGACTGACACAAAGACAGTATACTTATTTGGTATAAGTAATACATTCACTTAATATATTCTAGGGCCACTATAGGCTGAAACTTAAAAATTTAACTTTTATGCACTTATTTTGTGGATATTTACTAAGAATATCAGAGGTATAGAAATATGATTGTGAACTCAGGCCAATAGTGAACAAAACACAGAATAGTTATTTTCTTCCAGAGCGCTTATGATGTGATATGAGATACAACAGTTACACTGAGAAGTGATATGAAGGAAAAGGGACCTCAGATGGAATAAATGATGAGCCCTTCAGGAAGACAGGAAAGAAGAAAGAGAGCAGTTAAGACGATCACAGGATATGCAAAAGCCCTGGAGGTGGGATCACCTGGTGTTGGATGAATCCGCTTAGATCTAGGGGTAGGTGAGGCTACTCCAGCAGAAAGCCACCCACAGGATTGCAGACAGATGGGAAGCCTGATTTACTCAAGCAGACCTGAGAGGAAGAAGTAGAAATGAGATGATAATGGAGGCACGAAACACCCAATTGTGTGTGAAATGTCAATCAGCAGTACCAGCTAAGAGCTCACAGGGTGGCAGTGTGAGGCCCAGAGAGGAATGCAGGCCAGGTCCCAAATAAGCTGTGTGGTTTTCACAAGCTGGATCTCCTGGCTGGACCCTGCTTGCTGTTTCACTTGATTCCTGGCTTAGGAAATGGTGAACTTTAGGAAGACAGGGAGGACACTGAAGTAGTAGTTGATGTGAGGTCTCCATTTTCTTGAAAAGAGGATAGGGTTTGTTTTAAGTCTTGAAGTAGCTCAATTTCTTTTTTTAGCTGCTCCAGTCTTTCTTCAGATTCATGAATTTTATTTTCTATTGCTTTGAAAAGAAAAAAAGTGACTTCAGACTACTCAGTAATTAAGTTAGAAATAATGTAGTTTCTAGTCCCTTTTACTTGCAAGTACAGAGTCCACAATGCTTGTGCCTTAAATGCAAAGAATCTAGTCTTGTGAGCAGGAATTGCTTCACTTCCTCCTCCTGATCCAGGATGGAATTCCAACAGCTGTCACATATGAAGCTGTCTTTTAATATTTGTGTATGCTTAAAGCAGGAGTCCCTTTCACCTGCCTCTGAGAACCTGAACACAGTTAACTGTATAACATCCATGCTGTCTTATATAGATTTGTTGAGACAGAATGGTTAGGGTAATAACAATAAGGCAAATCTTTTATAAAAATCTAACCAGTTTTTAATGTTACATAAAGGCTTTGGTTTTATTCAGATATAGGAAAAGTTTTTATTGTGGAGACTCTGCAAGACAATACTTTATTAAACTTTATAGTGACTAGTACATGGTGGCACTGTAAATTTTAAAAACCAAGTTAAACAATACAAACCTTTCCTCACAATAGCTGTAACTGCAGTTAATTTGAAACATAAGGCTATATGAGGCATGAGGATGAACTATGGTATCAGAAGTTGAGCCTTTTGGGCCAGGGATTTAGCTCTGGTTCCAGCGCCTGCCTCACAAGCACAAGGGCCTGAGTTCAATCCCCAGTACCAAAAACAAACAAACAAAAAAGTTCCCAAGTACTGCACTGCACTGCACAGCACAGCACAGCACAAATACCCACAGTGAGCCTATCAAGTAGATTTAACTTTCATATGGGTGGCACACCTGTAATTCTGGAACTCAGGAGGCTGAGGCAGGAGGATCACCATGGGTTCAAGGTCAGCCTATACCAAAGCAAGACTGTCTCGAAAAAAGAGAAAGGAAAGGAAGTCCTCTATAAAAGAAAGCTTTCTAGCTGGGCATGGTAGCACTGGCCTGTAATCCTAGCACTCGGGAGGCTGAGCCAGGAGGATCACTGCAAATTCAAGGCCAACCTGGGCTACACAGTTCAACTAGCCTAAACTACAAAAAGAAAAAGTCTTTAAGGGTGTCTTAAAAAAAAAAAAGTTAGGATACTGCCATTAGCAGACACCCTTAAGGGACTCTTAAACAAATGGAAATTTAGACTCTCTTGCATTTTGGGAGCTGAAAAGAGGACTCAACTGTTATTTTAGTAAACGTGCTGCCAAAGCACACACTCAACTGTTGATATTTTATAGAAAGGATAAGTTGTCTTCTCCCAACCCAAAAGTGACTATTTCTTGTTCTACAAAAATGTCTTGGGGGACCGGAAATTTAGCTCAGTAGTTCTGCCGCCTGTCTCACAAGTGTGAGGTCTTGAGTTCAATCCCCAGTACCAAACAAAACAAAACAAAATGTCTTGGGTATTCTTGTTTTGTTTTTTCCAGATGAACTTTAGAACTAGTCACACTGCACACACATATTCCCCCCCAATTGGATTAGATTTGAAGAAGTGCTGGGAGAATTGAAACTTTACCCTTTTCATAGGTGAGGGGAGGAGTAAGTTGCAGGATAGTGTATCATAGCCTCACCACTTCAGGGAGGGCAGAGAGGCTGCAGGAAACCTCCCTAGCTCTAACCTGTGCGTACTTAAAGACCAACACACACCAATTTTGGGATTAATTTTTTTGTCTCTTATTTATTGAGGGTTTTTTTTCTGATTGTAGAAGTATTTATATGTATGTAAAATACTTGGAAAATAAAGTACTAAACGACAAAAGAAATCACTAAAATGCAATCACCTACAAATTACTTTGCAATGTAGTTTTTCTGTGTACATGTCTTTTCTGTACATATTTTTATTTTTATTTTTTGCTGTATGTGTCAGTTTTGTATTGAGCTTCCATTTAAACAATGAACATTCTTCTAAAATGATTTTCATCATCTGTATAGCATCATACTATTTCAATCTAAATTATATTTCTAAACATGCTTAGTTATAAATCATACCTGCATTAAATTTTGCAAATGTGTCTTCAAACAATCCACAGTCAAAAAGTGAAGTTTCAATTTTTTCATAGGCTTGACGGAGAAAAACATTTCAGTATTAATTTTAATTTATAAAGGCAGAAACACCTCAGAAAATAACCCAAAATAGGAAAGAGTAATACTAAGATTTGTAATAGTAGTCATCTACTGTACAGATTTAGTTGTAGATTGCAGTGGCACTGGCCTGATAGGAAATGTTTTAGAAATGTCAACTCTTGGCATTTCTACTGAATCAGAAGCTCTGGGGGGGCAGCTGTGTGTGTGTGTGTGTGTGTGTGTGTGTGTGTGTGTGTGTGTGTGTGTGTGTACGTGTACATGCACGTGTGCAGGTATTTGTTTTTTGAGGCAGAGTCTCACTGTGTATGTAGCTCAGGTGGGCCTTGAACTCACACTCCTCCTTCCTCAGCTTCCCAAGTGTTGTAATTACAGTTGTGTATCACCATGCCTGGCTATCCCTGCAGGTGATTCTGAGGTACACTTAAGTTTGAGAAGTGCTAGGTCTAGAGAAAAAAGCAAATAATGTAATGAATGAGCTTTTGCAAATGTTTAGTCTTAATTTTTTTGATCTGTCCTATAAAATATAATCTTTTAAATAATTTTACAAGCTATTGCCAAGCCTTACATTTACTTGTAAAATAACTATATTCATTATAAAGTTTGTAAGCTCCTACTATATATTAGAAGGCTAGTAAATTGCTGTACACTTCTACATAAGTGGAACATCAGCTTCCCAAAAAGCTCTTTTAAGAAAGTTGATATTTAAACATTTATTGAAACATTAAAATTACTTGTGAGTTAACATCACTAAAACAGAACAATTGGCTTATTATAGAATAGAATTTTATTAAAGAATGAGAGGGGGCCGGGGATTTAGCTCAGTGGTTCTGCCATCTGCCTCACAAGCACAAGGTCCTGAGTTTGATCCCCAGTACCATCCCCCCTCAAAAAAGGAAGAAAGAGAAAAGCATGAAAATGGGTACTTTTTTTGGTCAGTCTGTTTACATGTAAGTCTGTAAGAAGTCTCTGTGCTTGAAACACAGCTGTTTCAGTACCTGATTCTGAAGTAGTGTCATCCAAGAGTTTTTGTTGAATCAAATGAAGTTCATCTAATATATTTTCAAATAAGTCATTAAGAAGTCCTGCTTTCTTACATTTTTTAAGAAAAGAAACCTTCATGATTGTATCTAAGAAAAAAAAAAAAAAAAAACAATTTTAGAAGGAAATGGCCTTAAAGTAGTTAGTCATATCACTTTATGGTTACTCCTTCTGACTGCATAGTGGTAGATGATCAGAATTAGTAAGATAACACACATCACACCTTTGCCTTTTCTGTTAATTGCAGTTTCATCAGATCTGTTTTTTCTAGGTGAAACAGTTGAATGAAATGTTGTAAAAAGTGAAAATAAAACTTTGCTTACAGGGCCAGGGATTTAGCTCAGTGGTTCCGGTGCCTGCCTGGCAAGACCCAAGTTCGATCCCTGGTACCAAAAAAAAAAAAACTTTGCTTACAGTAAGTCTTCAATCCTATCATTTTTTGGACAGCTATGTATTGTTACTGAATATTTATTTCCTTAAAGAACAGAAAGCTATACCTGCCATGGTGTGAGGGGAAGTACATCACTTAATTCTGAGCTCAGGCAAGTCTAGCTGCTGCTTGTCAAGAAGTGTTTCTTCAAAGTCAGAAACAACCATTCCTACCTAAGTTATTTTGATGTGGGATTCTGATACAGTGGATACTTAGGATAATATTTGTGCTCTTTCTACTACAAGTCTAGAAGAATAAAGATTAATGTGTGATACTAACTTTTAAATACATGGGTCAGCATTTTATAACATTTTCATAAGGCCATGTTATACCCATCACTGAGACCAAACCTGTGTGACCGCCAGGCTCATCCTTCATTTGTCTTTCTGAACTGTCCAACAGCATGGTCTCATTGGGCTAGGAAAGAAAAGCTAAGGTTATCTCACAATTAGTGGTGGCATTCACTATTACATAAAATAAAAACCAGTCTTGTTGTGTATAATTAAATGATATACGCCTAAGGTAAAAAGCATGCCTTATTTTCTTTTGCATATGTTTTATATAACAAAACATCATGAGGTATTTGAGAAACATCTTTTATTGTTCCTGGGGTTTTTGTTTGCTTTTGTTAAGAGAGTGTCTCGGTATGATGCCCAGCCAGGCCTTAAAGTCCTGGGTTCAAGTGACCCTCTTGCCTCAACCTCCCCATTGGTGGAATTATAGTTGTGCACCACTATGTTTGGCTCGAGAAATATCTTTTGAATAAAAAGAGGTGGAGATTGGTAGCTCATATTAGCTTATATGAACTGATGTAAATGCTGCCACAGATCCCCCCAATATTTTCATACACTGCATACATATAATCCAGAAAATGATGACAGTTACATACAGGACTAGGTCAGTTGTGAATCATGCTGTTCGGAAACACTTGGCTATTTGATGATGCTCTCCTGTACCCTTAGTCCATTTTTAGGACCTTACGTACCCTATAAGGACAAATGCTCTACCTTGGTGCCAGAGAATATACTTTGAGAGCTGTGGGAATAACATAACCTGAAATTCCAACTACTCTTAGTATTCATCTCATTTTGGTTCTATCATCTAGGAATTACCTAAGCACTTCCTGAATATGGGACTCTTTCCAAAAGGGCATCTTTAGGAGCAGTCTCAGCTCGGGCAAAGAACACAAATGAAGGATATCTATTCCAGTGACTTGGGAAGTACATTTCTCCTGAAACTCAGAATGTTTAAATAAGGACTCTGAGCTGGGCATGGTGGTACATGCCTATAATCCCAGCACTCTGGGAGGCTGAGAAAGGAAGATTGCAAGCACAAGCCCAGCCTGGACAACTCTGTGAGACCCTGTCTCAAAAAATTAAAGAGCTGGGGATGTAGCTTAGTGTGAAGGCCCTGGGTTCAACCCACACACAAAAAGATTCTGTATGAAGAAATTTACTCTGGTGTGAATAAACTGCAATAATACATAAGACCCTAATAAGATTACTGACATTGTGAAATGGGAAGAAAGGGACTAAAGGTGTAGGGAAGGTGGGATGGATAGGGGAAGGGAAATAAGGGAAAATAAAAAAATGTGAGATAAAGAAACGATGGAAATAAATTGCTTGTAGATGGGGAGTGGAGGAGGGGGTGAAGGGAGGGCAGGGACAAGGGGAAAAAATGAGAACCAAGACCTGTCATGTAGGGGTGGGGTACAAGATCCCAACAATGAATGTAACTGTACTGTATCCCTAAAATGTACCAATAAACTCAAAGCTGAAAAAAAACAAAAAAAGAAATTTAAAGCTACAAGAAAATTAAGTCAAATTACCAGTGCATGAAGGCCTGTTGAGAGACGTTTTTTCCTTCCTCTTTTCCTTTGCACTTTTGAACAGTCAGCTAAAAATACAAATCATTGAAAAGTTGATGTATATATAAAGGAAAAAATTAGTTTGAAACCATAAAAATATAAAATACTAATATGCCGAAGGATTTTAAGAAGTCAAAAAAAATGGCAAACTTTGACTAAGCATTTGCAACACACATGATAAAATATTAAAAGATGTTGAGCTGGGGATTTAGCTCAATGGTGCCACCGCCTGCCTCAAAAGTGCAAGGTCCTGAGTTTGATCCCTGGTGCCAAAAAAAAAAAGATCTTTATAAGTTGATATGAAAAAACAGATGAGTAGACAATGGGCAAATGGGAAACACTCTAGGGATAGAGCTCACTGAATAGAAATGAAAAAATTGGGTTACTAAAAAACATAATTGGTGAAAAGCTCTGGAATGCACTCAGGTTCACTCATAGAACATACAAAGTAAGTTTTCACACATCGTGTTGATAAAGATAACATTTTCAGTGATTTGAGTAATTGTACTCATGTTACAGTCTCTTTAGAAGACAATTAGCCAGTGGTTATACAGTTTCATTATTTACATTCTTTGACCCTGAGGTTTTACTCAGTTTTACTTAACAGTATAGTTACACAAAGGCACAGAGATGTATAGAAAACAATGTTAACCTTTGCGTTAAATGTAACAGAAAACTGGAGGGACTAGCTGTCAAATGAGCAGAGAATAGTCCAACTGTGTTATAGCTATACCCTGGTATGTTGTACATACTTTTAAAAAATGAGGTTAATTCCACTCGCACTGATGTGGAAGGATCTTTAAGATGCAGCAAACAAGTGGAAATAGCAAAGTAGAATAGAATGTTTAAATATAGAAAATTTGTGGAAGAATTCAAAATAACAGAAACAATTTCCTCAGGAAATGATTCATTTTAGAACAATAATAATTTTTTTATTTTTTGGTGGTACTGAAGATTGAACCCAGAGCCTTGCACATGTTTAGCATGTGCTATACTACTGAGCCACACCTCCAGCCCAAAAATAATGTTTTAAAACTAAATGCATTATTGTCATGATTCTCTTTGCCAGTGAACACTGACTGAGAGCATTTTTTAAAAATGGTATCTCTCAGTTAAAAAGGTAATGACTTAAATACTGTTTAGAGAGTGCTGTGTGCCATCATGAAATGCTTTTGGCATAACACAGAACTAAATCTTTTTCCAAAGTGGTCCTGGCTCCAGTTCACATTTAGTGATAAAACACTGCTGTTCCAGAAGTACACTGAGGCCATTCACAAACGAATATACAACTCATGACTTGGCCAAGATCCAATCTACCTTAATTAAAATAAGTGCAAGGGCCAGGGATTTAGCTCAGTGGCACTGAGCTTGCCTTGCAGGTCCTGAGTTCGGTCCTCTGTAACACATACACACACACACACACACACACCCCACACACAAATGACGTGCATACCAAACATTCTTAGGGAGTTTTCACCAGCTCTTTATAATTTTATCTCCTGAAAATTTTACTGTTACAATAGAAGGGAAACAATCACAGAAGTCAAAGCTTCTTAGAGTATCTTAGTTTCTTCCTATAATGAAGATGGAATATACCAGAGAATGGCCAAGAGAACAAGTGTAGTTCATCAAGAAGAACCAGTTAGTTATATCACATAATGCACAAAGAAACCGATAATCTGATAAGTATGTAAAATATTAACTCAATTTATATTTTAACTCCATGAGGCTAATCAGACTCCATGTCTTACCCAAATGTTTGGTTTTCTTTAAACATGCTATATGGAATGTGAGAGAAAATGGAAACAAAGGCTTTGTAAATAGGGAAGGGTGAAGGGAGAGCAGGGGTATGGAGAAAAAATAACCAAGACATATCATGTAAAGGTACAAGATCCCAATGATAAATGTAACTATTGTTTGCTTTATTTATTTATGTGTGTGTGCTGCTTGCTTTAAATGTACCAATAAACAACGGGGAAAAACATTTTTGAGAAACTTACCACTTTGACTGATGGCTAATTTTGGAGCATGCTGTTGGCATAACAATCTGGAATAGGCAATTTCAAAGAATTATTAAATATTTTAACATAGTTTTCAAATGTTTATTTTCTAAGATTTACAAATGTACTAATCTCTCCCCCCATGAATGCTGTAGTTAAAATATGTGTTTTTAAAGAAAAATGCTGTTTAAACATCAAATTCAGATAAGGCTATCAGATGTCTTCTATGCCCTCCAAGCTTTAGAAAGACATTATGTTCTATGAAGGAGTGCTGAGTAAGTATTTTGAACAATACTAGTTCACATACACAGTGGTTAGGGACATTTGACTTTATAGAGACGCCTAAAGATCCAACATCTTTTTCCCCTTTTCTTTTGTGATACTGGGGATTGAACATAGAGCCTTTGCATATCCCTATACTTAACGCTCTTGTAATTTCATATTTTGAGAAAAGGTTTTGCTAAATAACTGAGTTGCCCAGGCCATACTCAAATTTGCAGTCCTCCTGCCACAGCCTCCCAGGGTGATGGGACTATAGATGTATGCTACCATGCTGGTGCCTACATATTTTTCCCCCAGTACAGGGGATCAAACTGAGGACCTTACGCTTGCAGTCAGTGCACCTACATTTTTAAGATAAGCAAATTTCCAACTTACTACAGAAGAACGTGATTAATAGCTAACCCCCCGCCCCCGCTTTTAGGTTTTGGAACTCCAGGAACCTTCATTTGCCAAGTACTTGAGTTTCTTCAAATATACTAAAATGTGTAGAAGGGCCAAGGATTTAGCTCAGCGGTGCCTGCCTTGCAGGCACAAGGATCCAACTTCAATCCCTGGTACATTAAAAGAAAAAATTGAAGAAAATACTGAGATGAACCCTGGTCCCACCCATTCCCACTGCCAGGAGTCCTCAACTTGGAGCCAAGCTCCTTTCATGTAACGCCCTCCTGCTCCCACCCTTCTATGTGCATCTATTCACAAGCATTTTTGCTTCTCCTACCAGTTGATAACCTAGTTTCAGTCTATATTGATCTTTGTATGTATGGACAAGTTACTAAGTGGCTCAGGACCTTATTTACTTCATCTACAAATGGGAATAGTAGTATCCTATCACCCTAGACTATTGTAAAGATTAAATGAGTTTACATTTGTAAAGCACTTAAAATATGCTGGCATAAAGTGGTTATCAAGTTAAAAAAAATCGTGCTTATATCACTTCAATAATAGGACATATGCCCATTGCGGGGAGTGGACTCTGCCTCTGAAGGGAATTTTTTAAAATAATTTTAAGAATACTAAATCTTACAAAAATCATACATTATGAAAGATTCTTCTAACATTGATCCTATTTAGAATATTATGACAAGGTAACAGTATGATGGTGGAAATTACAATTATTCTACACACAAGATGGGAAAGACAAATAGTTAAGCCCATAGCTGTGTACGTAAAGGCCTCTTCCAGTTTTTAGAGAATACTTGGCTTAAACTGGTCCCTATCTTGCTTATACTATAGGCCAGTGGTGCTGAACCCATGGCACAGGTAAGCTATTTGTTGTCACTGAAAGCTCTCAAAGGTTCGCCATCATTACTTTAGGCTGTTCATGCCACTCTAACAAGGGATGCTTTCTACCAGGAAGGATAGGTTGCAGGGAAAAAGAAAATTTTTTTTTTTTTGAGACATGATCTGTAATTCAGGCTGGCCTTGAACTCCTGGTGATGCTCCTGCCTCAGCCTCTTGAGTGCTGGGATTACAGGCATGGGCCACCATGCCCAGCTGCAAGGAAATCTTTAAAAAGGAAAACAAAAACCTGGCATTATTTTCTTCCTCTGATATTTAGAGGAAGTGTAGCTCCCAAACCATGTTCTCATATGAAAACCATTTACAGAAATTTAGTTTTAAAACTTTCCTTGTCTTAATCTAACCATTTATCTCAGTTCCCCAAATGTAATTTTAAAACTGTTTCATTACTTATAAATTCCTTGAACTCCATCAGCTTGTGGAAACGCCTGGTCCATCTTGGCACAGAAAAAGTGGTAATTCCTGGCACAGGATTTTAAATCACATCCCACGGTGGCTCCTCTTTTCCCACAAAATGTGCATTTCTAGGGAAGAATAGATTTTACTGAATAAGCACCTGTTTTTTCAAAATCTTTGTTAAAATTTAAGAATATCATTAAATATATTTAAACCAGCAGCCCTGTTTTTATCCTGGACATCAATAGCAAAATTGCATCCTCAGTACAAAAGGTACTTCCTTACATTTGGCCACTCATTTGGAAATTTCAGCAAAAACTCAGCTAACTGAATTTAGCACAGCTGTGGCAGTCCACAGCGCTAATCCCAGCACTCTGGAAGCTAAGTAGGAGGATTGTGAGTTACAGCCCAGCCTGGACTTAGCCAGTCCCTGTATCAAAATTAAATAAAACAAAACATGTAGCTTAGTGCAAAGGCTCACTCCCCAGTACTTAAAAAAAAAAAAAAAAAAAAATAAAAACAGCTCTCTAAAAAGCAGAACTGGCAAAAAAGTTCAGCTCCAGGCAAGGGTTCTCACTGAGCGCAAGGCAAAAGCAGCTCCTACCTGTACCACTCTGAGTCCATCATTCTTCCTTGAATACTCAGATTCCTCCCTGAGGTAACAATGATTGCCCTAACAGAGTTGCTGTTGATAATATGAGATAAAATGAGAACTTTTTTGGTTTGGAATTTATGTAGTCGGGCCAACAAACAAAAACAAATTGAGCAAATATAGTTTTTCCCTTTTTTTTGAGACAGGGTCTCATCTCACTATGTATTCTATTCTGGCTGTCCCTGAACTATCTGTGTAGTCCAGGCTGGTCTTAAACTTGAAGTGACCCTCCTGCCTCAGTCTCCCTGAGCTGGAATTACAGGCATGCACCACCATGACTGGCTAATAACAGTTTCTTAGTTTTAATTTATTTGAACTCTTACTTTATTTCTCTGATACCTTACATATAAAGTTGGTATAAAGATAATTAGGCAATCAGTATATGGCCACAGAAACCTGTCTAGTTTAGCGGAATCCAGCCACAGTCAAGGCCAATTAGCATCATGCTCTGGCTTAACAATGAGACCACCTTGCAAAACAAGAGATTACTCACATAATATCCCAAGGTCAGTACAAACAAGCGTATAGTCAAAATTCCAATGTAGGTGAGAAATAAGATAAAGGTGGAATTCTGTATCACAGAATAGGACATCAGTAATTTTGATTTTGGGAAGACCAAATGCCTATTGGTATAGGAAAAAAATATACTCCTACATAAATTCTACCCAGATTAATGAGTCTAAGGAAGGCAGAAAACCCAGAAGCCACAAAGAAAAAACCAGATCAACTATATAAAAAATGTTAATTTCCATTTTTATGGAAGCAGATACCATCTGAAATTAAAAGGAAAAGATAGGAAATTATATGCAGCATATTAGTGTTAACATTCAGATGATAACCCACAGAAAAAAGTGACAGTACAGAAGAACTACAGATGGTTAATAAGTATTTATTTAAAGTTTATATTAGTATACAGTATTAAGTATGCAGTAGCTCTGATGTGGCACTTTGTGGATAAGGGAAAACAGCAGTGAACAAAACAATGTACACTAGGGAGAATGTACAATGAATGTTCCTAGAAAAGCAAATTTTAAAACACCTCAACGTGGTCTGAGGATATAGCCAAGTGGTAAAGCATTCGCCAGGCATGCCTAAGGCCATAGGTTTGATGCCCAGCATGGCAAAAAACTAACAACAAAACCTAAATTTAAAACATTTCACAAATGTGAATTATGCATTGTATAGAAATAAGGCAAAGTGACAGTATCACTGGGTCCCTACTTCAGATTGGATGGTTAGTACGGTACTCCTCTAAGGTGACAGGAGAAAAGCAGAGATTTGAAAATTAAGAGCTCCAAAAGGACCAGATGTTATAGTGCACCCCCCACCCCACCCCTGTGATCCCAGCACTCGGGAGGCTGAGGCCGAGGATCATTGTGAGACCAAGCCAGCCTGGGCTACACAGTGATTAACAAAACAAAACAAAGCAAAAACATCTCCAAGTATGCAAAAAGGCGGGGAGGAGCTGGGAGTCAGCAAGGCTTATTATTATTACTTTTACATTTAAAAACTTTTATTGGTGTATGTTTGTGATACATAACAAGCACCTGCATGGTGGGAACTGGCACACACACACACTGCCACTGATCTTTTTTTTTTTACTTCCCTTTCCACCCTCCCAATGCCCCCAAATCTTCTTCTGCTCCACAGTCTATATCCCTGTTTTCTGTCTTTTTTGTCTTTGAATTATGTATACTTTACTCATACTTACACTATACTCATATACTTATATGGGTTACTCATATAAGAGAAGCCACGTGATACTTAACCTTGTCTGATTTACACTTTATTTATATGTAAATTAAAATAATTTCTGCCATCCAGGTGGAATGAAGCCGTAAGCTCTGGAAAAGGATTACAGTGCTAAATAGAATGGAGCAAGGAAGAGTATGAAACTTAATTTACCACCTTTGAAAAATCAGTTCCTTCTATGAAGAGTTCAAACCTGCTCCGGTTAGATAACAAGGAACAGAGAGGGGTGGGGAGGCTGAATCCTGCAGGAATGAAAGATTGGGTTCCTGATGAGAAGGGATCACCCAGTGCTGCAGGGAGGATCCTATGACTTGGGAAAGTGAGAAGGGGAAGAAAAGGAGCATGGTTTGTGTCCTTGGATGAGGCGGTTATTGGCCAAGTGAAAGAAGGTCCCAGTCTGTACGTATTCCCTGGAGGCCGGGAATCCTCCTAGTAGTGATGCTCACCGCCTAGGTGACGAGGTGCTCAGACTGGGCAGAGAAACAGTGCTGGGCCAGGTCTCCGGGACAGGAGGGGCAGGCTCCACCTTGTCCGCTCACAGTCGGCTCAGAGGCCCCATCTACCAAGATGGCCACCAAGGCTTCACGGAGGAGGGACCTCGCTGGTCACTGGGACACCATACCCTGCGCCTGTGTCTTCACTCTCAGCATCAGCTCCAAAGCTGCACTTCCGAATGGCAATGTTGCACACACTGCCTGGCACACACTGAGCTGGGCACCGCTGCTGCTCCCAGCATAGGTTTATAATCCTTGCTACTTGGGAGGCTGAGGCAGGAAGGTCACAAGTTTGAAGCAATTTAGTAAACTATGTTTCAAAATGTAAAAAGGGGCTGGGGATTTGACTCAGCCCCAGTTTAATCTCTAGTACAGCAAAGCAGTGGGAGAGATATAAGTGGAGGCCTCTTAAATTCTTATGGCAAGATTGAATCTCCCAGTGGCCAGCTTACCAGAACAAGGACAGACTCTTGTTACTGGAGCCTTTATTTGGCAGAGGAAGTCTCTGGTTAGGGCCTGGTCACTAGGGCTTACAAACCAGAGTAAGGAGATGGGCTTTTATTGTTTTGCAAGGGGAACAGAAGATAATGTTTCCAAGAGTGCTGGGAGCGATTCACTGTATGGCCAGGCCTAACTTGCCTCTTCCTGCGGATGAGGCAAGGCCCTGCCTGGAAGGAAAAACGGCATCATGTTTGCTTCCTCCCACAGAAGAGGCAGGGCAGCTCCAGAGAACAGGCAACAACAGGTTGTGATGGAGCAAGGCCCAGCCAAGGAGAGGACTATCTTTCTCCCTGTCCGTTCACCATAAAACCATCAAAGCATGATGTCCTGCACCTTAGCTACTCTCCTAGCTCCAGTTACAGACCAGCCCCTTTTACCTCCTCCTGCTTCCCTTATCTCTACACTAAATAAACCCAAGGTTGCCAGCCAGGCATTTTCTCCTATCAGGAAAAAAGGCTTGACCTGGCCCCAGCTTTGTTCTTTTGTTATCTCTTTGTTTTTCTTAATCCCCTGACCAAGACCAAGAGATTCTCACTCCTTGGACCCTTCAGCCATGCAGGCCATGGAATAAAGGGATCAAGAGATCATGGAATGAAAGGTCATTCTTACTGCTGTATGAGCTGGGTAGGATGGCAGGAGAAACAAGGAATCAGTAATCATCTACAACCATTGAGAAAGCTAAAGCAGACAGTTAGTGGATTAATAATGCTGAGAGCAAAGTGGGTAGAGGACACAGTTATGTCTCGATATCAACAATGGGCTTGATGTTGGGCTAGGAGTTGACAAGGAAAAGATAATCCTTGGATTTCTGCTTTGCCTAGCAGATAAGTGATGCCTGTTTACAGGAGTGAAGGAGCAGCAGGTTTGGATGAAGTGTTTGTTATAGGGAGGAACGGTACTCAATATGAGATGCTTTAGGTGTCCTTGGATATGTATCAGGTTGGTAGTCTGGAATTTTAGGGAGGGGACAAGGCAGAAGATACAGATTGATTTGCAAGCCCCTGACATATAGATGATGTTATGGGGACTGGATGAAGCCACCTAGGAAGGATGTTCAGATCCAGGATGGAGCCCAGGAGTCTTTCAAAATTTTGAGCAGCTCCAAATCTCCAAGTTTGGACAGAGGAGAAAGCAGCCAGGTTATCTGGGAGGAAGTGATCAGAGAGGTAGAAACCACCTGGAATATATCTAGAAAATTTTTAAAAAGGTACTTCAAGATGCAGGGTGTGGACAACTGGGTTAAGGAATACAGTTTAAGAGGTTAAATAAGGACAGCCATTAGCCTGGGGCTGCGTGGCTGGGTCAGAGGTTTTAAAGAGATGAGAGAACATGAAACAATAAATGTGGAGGGTGAAGCAAACATACAGTACAAGGGAAGTGATGAAAGCCCTTCTGAGGTTGTGGCCATGAATCTACATTCAGTAAGCACATTTGTGGTTTTTCCTCAAGTTGTTCAATTGGTCAAGTGCTGGTGCTAATCAGTGTATGCAGAGAACCAATGGACATGTTTACACAGGGTTGGGTTCTGCCAAGTAGATGCAGAAGTGGTGTATGTGTATAGTGGGGGTGGGGGAAGGCTGGAAGAAGGCCATTGTGGTTGGGGGCCACAGACTGCAAAGGGATGGGTGAAGAGCTGCTAGAACTGGGTGAGGCCTGAAGAGAAACAATGTTCAACCTCTCTAGTGATTACGGAGTAGAAGTCACCAATGCTAGAAGATCAAACTCTTCTATCACATTGCCAAAATTAGAGTAGTAATACTTATTCACTGTAGAGTAGAAAAAGTGCTTTTTTATCCAGTATGTACAGAGATCTAAACTGGTAAAACCTTTCCCAGAGACAGGTTGTCAGCACAGTTCAATGTGTACTCTATCACTGAGCTACATTCTCAGCCCTTTTGATTTTGAGACAGCATCTTTTGTTTTGTTTTGGTTTTTTGTTTGTTTGTTTTTTGAGACAGGGTCTCACTATGGAGTTGAGACTGACCTGGAACTCACTATGTAGCCCAGGCTGGTCTCGAACTCACAGTGATCCTCCTGCCTCAGCCTCCCGAGTGCTGGGATTACAGGCCTGCACCACCACGCCCATCTTTGAGACAGCATCTTGCCAACTTTCCTAGCCTATGCTTAAACTTGCAGTCCTCCTTCTTCACTCAACCTGAATATCTGGATTACAGGTGTACACCACCACATCTGGCATGGTTCAACATTTTTAACTTACTCCACAATTCCACGTCCAGGAGAGTGCTATAGAAACACTCAAACAAGCATACAAGAATGTATGTACAAAGATGTTTGTTGCAGCATTACTTACAGTGAAAAACAAGAATAGATTCATTATTTGACCACAAGGGTGTGGTTTCATGAATTATGCTACACTCTACAGAATTCCAAGAATCAGTATGGGAAATAAATACCATGGAGTCACATGCTTGTGGTTTTACAGGTGTACCCTGTTCTTTCTAGCTTTTCACACCTTTGTATATCCCATTCTCTCACTGGAATCCCTTTCCAGTCTTTCTTTCCCTGACCACCCCGCCCATACACACTAGGAAGGGATGCAAAGACCTGAATGAAGGCTGCTTGTGAGGGAGGTGCTGACCCCTCTCAAAGCATTTATCAAGCTGTCCACTCACAGGCCTGTCTTCCCTATGAGTGTGTGCATTGTGTACAACTCATATATACCAAAGGTTCAATAAATACTTGTTAGGGACTGATTACTTTCAGTGACTTTGCACACCTCTCTTTTACCCTGCACTTCCAGTGTAATCCCAAAGTCTTCCCAGTGAGGAAGTCTGCATCACAAAATCTGCAAAAACCCTCAGGTTCCTGTGCTTACTTCTGATTATTACACTTTTAGTCAACTTCCCTCTGTACTCAGACTGGGTTCTTCATACGTGGACCTCTGAAATCTACAGGTAGATTCTCCTAACTGTCCAACCAGTTAACAAAGAGCAGCAGAAATCATCTTTCAATAGAGGAGTGTCTGCTACTCTCTAAGTAGAGAGGCTCTGTGCTAATCCATCACATCCAAAGCCCTCAAATGGACTCCAGTGACCTTCCTGTTCCTCTGTCAACAGCAACTTATGCCAGGGTCCAATCTTTCATAGTATGTCATAGTATAAACATAGAGGGCAGAATCTGTACACTCCATTTTATGCTGTGGTTCAGGATCTACTACAGTACTACCTACACCATCTGAGAAAAAATTTGTAGAATTCTGTCATGTTGTACTCTAGACTTTCAATCTATTCTGCTTACAAAATGAGCAGCATTATACCTACAGCTTGGAGTTTACACACAGCAATGCATATTACACCTACCATGGCATGCTGCTGATGCTGACATTTTAAAAAGATTAAATAAATGTCTGTTCCTGACCAGTAATCTTACTGTGATTGTGATCAGGACATGAGGCATCTCCAATTGCTGTCCCGCTGTGAATGGCCTTTTGCTGAGAAAGTCTGTGAACTCAATGGAGCCAGCAGGGTAACTACTTGGCATTCCTTTCTTTCTCAGCTCTCAGGGCAGATCATGATCATTTATGGCCTCACCTAGCAACTGGCGCAGAAAGAGGGTATGACCATGAAGTCTTCATGCTTCAGTGGCTGCATGCAGCCAAACTATGGCTGTGAAGGGACAAGTTGATGTTGGGGACAGAAGGGAAAGGGGAAAAAACCTGGGCCCTTTTTGACATCACTGAGCCACTGAAACTGTTTCTTCTGATTAACAAGCATCCCTTGTTAAAGCCAGTTTGAATAGGGGTTTCTTCCATTTAAAGCCAAAGGCAGTCTGACTCTTAACTACTTAATGTTCATTTGAATTTATGTTTCTAAAACAGTCCTTTTTTCGCTTTCCAAGATGCTTTTTTATCCCTGGTTGTTATCCAACTTTCTTCTGAATGCACTTCCCGAGAGTATGGTCATCCAATAAGAGAAATAAAATCATTTCTACTTACCAACTTTCTTCCTCTTTGGATTTCTTTTTTTACTGATTCCACATCAAAATTTCTATCATTATTAGTTGGATCTTGGTCCTCACATTCCACAAGTGCCGAAGAATATAGCTGCAGATTGGGGGAAAAAAATCCAGAGTACGCACCGAGTAATATTTAAAAGCTTCAAGTTAGAAGATGGTTCCAAAAAGTACACCAGCAGTAGAAGATGGATTAGAGGCACAACAGTGACCTCTTCTGGGGATATGTGAACAGACTATAAAGCCACCTCTCTTTTTTAGGAGTGACCCTGATCCCCAGGCATAATTTATACTTTGTAATTTTGATCCCCATTGGCTAACGGGACCTGTGTGGACCCCGACACTAAAGCTAGGCCACTCTGATTCCCTATTCTAGGAATGTGGACTAGGCTCTGAACAACAACTCCCGCTACACAGTCAGAGCAAGCCAGACTGCAAAGAAAGAAAAGCAAAACCAAGGACTAGAGAAAGGACATTCTTGATGGCTTTCCAGCTTCTTTCTTAGACCTGTCTCTTTTAGGAGCTATGAAATGCCCCTGCAACCTTATTTAAACCCCATTTAGGATGACTCAAATTTCTGTGTGCCACATGAAAACCAAAAGGATCCAACCTACCTTCTCAACTGATGGTCCATAAAACACAAATACACAAATAACAAAAGGCATCAAAAACAAGTTTTTCTTTAATGACACTGGCATAGGCAATGATTTCTTATAAAAAGCAAAAACTATAAAGAAAAAGTAAGTTAAACTTTATCAAAATTGATTTTTTTTCTCTTGGAAAGGCACTGCTAAAAAAACAAAAAAGTAAGCCAGAGACTAGGGGAACATGTTTAAAACACATCTATATCTGACAAAAAGCTTGTATCCAGAATACAAGAAAGTTACAACTTAATCTTAATTCACTTGAAGATGGGCAAACAACAAGCGTAGGCAACCAATGGATGTGGTGTATACACCTGCAATTCCAGCAATCTGTAAGGTGAGGCAGGAAGATTACAAGTTTGAGCCCAGCCTGGGTAACTTAGAACTTAGTGAGGCCTTGTGTCAAAATGAAAAATGTAAAAGAAGGGCTGAGAATGTAGCTTAGTGGGAAGGTTCTGGGTTCAACCTACAATATTTCCAGAAAAACAAAGCAAAACAAACACAACACCAGCAATTCTACCTCTAGATATTTACCCAAGGGAGATAAAACGGTATTTCTGCACAAAGACTCATATACAGATGTTTGTAACAGATTTATCACCATAGCCTCAAACTAGAAATAACATATATGTCCATCAACAGGTGAATGAATAAACAAGTTGTGATATATCCATATAATGAAATACTATGAAAAAATAAAAAGGATGCAAATGTAGTCATGGCCATCCCTCAGCATCCTTGGGGAACTGGTTCCAGGATGCCCTCTGGATACCAAAATTCTCCAATGCTGAAGTTCCTTATTTAACATGTAGTATTTACATAAGACCTTGTAGTTTTATCCTGGAAGGTTTTACATCCTTCCATATACTTTAAATCATCTCTAGATTACTTATAATACCTAATGCAATGTAAATGCTATATAAATAGTTGTTATACTGTGTTAAGGAATAGTGAGAAGAAAGTGTTCCAAGGAAAACATTTTTCTGAGTATTTTCAATCTGCAGTTGGTTGAATCCATGGATACAGAACCTAACTATACTAAGGGCCAAATGCACACACAATATGGATGAATCTCCAAAACACTGCTGAGTAAAGGAATCTATACACAAGAGTCCATGCTATAGAATTCCTTTTGTATGAAATTTGAAGAAAGACAAGATCAACTTATAGAGACTTAGAGTAAGGAGGAATTGATTGAAAACAGATGTGAGAAAACTTTCTGGGGCAAGAAAAGCCTTCTGTATCTCAATCATGATAGTTACATGGTGCATGCATGTCTTAAAACTCTCCAAACTGTACACTTAAAGCATATGCTTTATGAAAATCATACCAATAATGTTAACTAACAGAAGTAGTCAACATTAACAGTACATCAGTATACTAGAATTGTACATCATGGTAATCTGAGCATGGTTTCACAGGAGAAAAAAATATAAGTATATAACCCATTAAAAAAAGGTTAAAAGAAAAACCTTTGAGACATGAAAATTAAATGCAACCCACAAGCTGAAAGCCTTTGTTAGGAACGTTAGGACAACAGGTGAAACTTGTTGGTTTGAGGAGTAGGTGGTAGTAATGCAACACAAATGAACAGGTACTTAATTTCCTAATTCTGATGGTTCAATTATGATAACGTAAGATAATGTCCTTTATCTGTAGAAAATAAGACTCTTGCAGGTGCAGGACAAATTACACAAAAGGTGAGCAAAATATATGGTGAATGCTTTAATTTATTACAGTAAATGATATACTGCCATTAATGCTCCTCACTTTGAATACACTTATCCTGTCATTCTTGCCATGTTCTGAAGCAGTTTTAGAAGTTTTCTTTCATGAGTATCTTTACTATGTGTGATGAAAAATACGGTGAATGCTGCTGCCGACTGCCAGCCAACAAGAAAGCTGACTTAAAAACAGTAAGGTGTATCCTCATCCACCCAAATCACTGGATCTGGCACTACTGTACTTCTGGCTCCTTCCCCAGAGTCAAAATGACAATGAAAGGTCAATGTTTTTTAATTGATTTGGGACACTGAGCCATGAAACAACTGAAGATACACATTCGAGAGATCTTGGGAAAACGACTTAATGTCTTGGCCCCTCAGCTGTTTCATCTTTAATGTGCAGACAGCAACAGCAACTACCTCTTAAGGTTAATAATTTAATATAGATAAAGTTCCTAGAATATTGCTCTGCACATGATAAACATGAAATAATTGGCATTATTGCTACAAATTGGTGAGAAAATTAGAATCATCAAAAAATCATGGTGAAGGTTTCTCTTATATGAGGAACCCAAAGTATAAACAAAGAGGAAAATAAAAGTTAATAGGAATAAGGAGATAGATATTTCTCAAAAGAGAAGGGGACTGCATCGGGGATTTAGCTCAGTGGTGCTGCCACCCGCCTCACAAGCGCAAGGTCCAAGTTTGATCCCTAGTACCAAAAAAATAAAAAAATAAAAAAAGAGAGAGAGAGAGAAGGGGATCAAAAGATGGAGGAAAGGGAGGGAATGAGCGTGAGAAAAGGAATGAAGATGTGTTACGTATGTGTACCAATTCCACATAAGGAACGTAATATTTTGTATTGCAAACAGGCACACACACAAACACACACACACAAAAGGGATGGAGATCAGTAGATAGAGAAGGGAGAGAAGGAAAAAGGGGATTTAAAAAGAAATCAAGATGTGTTATACACATGCACTCATTCTCCACAAGGAATATAAATATTATGTACTACAAGCACATATTAGTAGAAATGCCAATGGTGGAAAAAGTTATTAATCATATGGAATAATACGAAATACAATAAATTTTTTTACACAGTAGTAAAATTTCAATAGAAGCTGAGAAAAGCAAGATTTTAAAATTTAAGGAAAAAAGACTTAGTATTGAAAAAAGCTTTTTTTGGGAGACAGTCTTGCTATGCAGCCCAGATGCCTTGAACTCTCAGTCCTCCTGCCCTAGCCTCCTGAGTTCTGGGATTACAGGCATATGCCAACACAGCCAGCTAGAAAAGAACTTTTTAGTAGGAAAAGAACACAAATATTATAGGGAAATAAAGATGAATTTAATTATATTATGAACTTCTTACCGCAAATACAATAAAATTAAAAGCAAAAAAGTATAACAGAGCATTACTATCTATTTTTATATAAATACATATAAGGAAAAACAAAGCCAAAGATGAAGCATAGACCATAAACATATATTCACAGAAGAACAGGAATCAACATGCAACCCCTAGTAATCAGGGAAACACAAATGAAAATGAGGCATAATTTGTTAATCGGAGAGGAAAAAATTAAAATCTCAGAACATTAAGGACTAGTAATAATGAAGAGAAAAATACAGTAAAACCTTGGATTGTAAGTAACTTATTCTGCAAGTGTTCTGTTTTTTGGGGGGTGGGGTTTGAGACAGGGCCTCACTGTGTAGTTCAGACTGTTCTGGAACTCACTGTGTAGCCCAGGCTGGCCTAGAACTTGCAGTGATCCTCTTGCCTTAGTTTCCCAACTGCTGGAATTACAGGCATCCATTATTTTTTATTTTTTTGGTTTTTTTGAGACAGGGTCTCACTATGTAGTTTAGGCTGGCCTCAAACTCACAGCAATCCACCTGCCTTAGCCTCCTAAGTGCTGGGATTACAGGCATGTGCTAGCATGTCTGGCATGTCCATTATTTCTTATGGGGAAATTTACTTTGAAATACAAGTGCTTTGGATTACAAGCATGTTCCCAGAACAAATTATGCTTACAAACCAAGGTTTTACTATACTCTGAAACAAGAATGGAGGCCAAATTTGGTACAATGTCTTTGGAGAATAATCTGGTGAATTTAGAGAAGTTCAAATCACCCTTTCTGTAACCTAGAAATTCGGCTCTTAGCTATATACCATGAACTAAAGAAATTCTCAAGTGTGTAAGGAGACGCAGACGAGAGTGTTTTGATAACTCACTAGTCTTATGAAGGAGACTGGTAAAACCTAAATGCCTATTCACAGGAGACTAGCTGAATAGTGATGTCATGAAATTGGACACAGTATTTAAAATGAAAGATGCAGAGCAATGTTTACATGGATGCATTTAAGAATCTGTAAAGTGTAATAGAACATCTGGGTGGAAGGTCTATAGGTTTCTCTTGTATCAGAAATAGTTCATGAAAATATCTTTAAAGAAGTTCCTTCATCAAAATTTCTTTCATTGTGTTTGACCAATTATAAATAAAAATCAAGGTAATAAGATTTGAAACAATTTAAAATTAGAAAATTGTGTACCTCAATCTCCACTTAAAAGCCCAACCCACAGCCAACTCCTTACTTCTTGCATCCAAAGTACCATTCATCTTTTCTGGGATGTCTGACTCTAAAAACATTCATGTAGTTTCAAGTAACTTACCAAACAATTTTCATGAGCAGCTATGTTCTCTGACTGTGCAAAGTATAGTACACTATAGTCGGTACCTTTGGGGCAGAGTGCACATGTCCTTTTTTCCATCCTTTCTGCAACCTGAAAGACACCTATAAGTGACATCCTTGGTGAGAAAGGGAAAAAGGAGAATTTTATAGTCTTTCTAAAACTCCTCCTCCAGTCCTTTTTTTTCCCTAGGTAGCTCAGGCTGGCCTCCAACTCTAGGGCTGAAATTACAGGCATGTGCCACCACACCTGTCTCCTCCTCTGAACTTACAGTAGAAGACAGGGCACTTGTTTTTAATGAGAGTCTCAACTCCCAGAAAGACAGACAGACAGACAGACAGACACACACACACACACACGCATATGCAAAGACCCATGCCGAAAATTAACTCATTTATTTTAAAAATGGGCTTAGTAATAAAAGAAACAATATATTTAAAAATGCCTAAAAATGAGGAAAATCTCGTCAAGAAAAATAACCGGGGGGGGGGGAATAACCTGGAATATAAATACAAGAAATACAAGCAAGGCTCTCAAAAAACATTACCTTGCTTACAGCAAGCTGTTGTTAATCGATAAGCAATGAAGTATTCACGAAATAGTCCTTTGCTTAACTAATAAAATTACCTCTTTATACCATACTATATTAAAAAATTAACTGTAGGAGAATTAAAAAAATAAGCAATGTAATTTAAATATGCTTTAATTCATTATTATGATTAGCTAGGAGAATGATTCACAAAGATGGATTTTTGTTTTGTTTTAGGAAGAAAAGGGAATAGGCAGACAGCTGAAAAAAGCCAGTTGTGTTAAGCCAGATATTAATGACATTTGCAAAAATGTAAAAGAATGTCACCCCCATTTCATAAACTTTTGATAATACAGTTATTTTAATACAAATTCTAAGGGCCGGGGATTTAGCTCAGTGGTTCGGTGGCCTGCCTTGCAAGCACAAGGACCTGAGTTCAATCCCGGTACAGAAAAAAAAAATTCTGTCACTGACTATATATTATGTTAACTGAATTTATAAATATTTTTAAAATTGAAAAAAGAAAAAAAAAAGCCAGTTGTTGGGAAGATTCCCGCCCATGTTGTTGTCAGTTAAGAGGCAAAATTCTCAAATCTGTTAATTTGCTTTTTTTTTTTTTTTTTTTTTTTTTGGTACCAGGAATCACACTCAGGACTTTGTGCTTCTGAGGCAGGCAGTGGAACCACTGAGCTAAATCCCCAGCCCTAATTTGCAATTAATTTGGCCACAAGCATCATTTAAGATTTAAAAAAAATTTTTTTCCCATTGCAATGCTCATCCTCATTTGGTTCTCTATAGTAGTTCTCTCTCTCTATTTTTTTTTTAATGTTTTTCATGAGATTTTTTTTTCCTCACTGAGTTCATTGGTACGTTTTAGGTATACAGTACAGTTACATTCATTATTGGGATCTTGTACTTTTACATGACAGGTCTTGGTTCTGTTTTCCCCTTGTCCCTGCCCTCCTTTCACCCCTCCTCCCTCCCACTTTACACACACTTCATTTCCATATCTTCATTTTCTCATATTTTTCTTTTCCCTTATTACCTTTCCCCTACCCTTCCCACTTTCCCTACACCTTTAGCCCCTTTCTTCCTATTTCACATTGTCCATTATATCATTAGGATCTTATGTACTATTATAGTTTATTCACACCAGAGAAACTATTTGGTATTTACACATGTGTGACTTATTTCACTTAGGAGTATATCCTCAATATGTATCCATTTTCCTATGAATGAATCTAATGTCTCATTCTTTATGGCTGAGTAATATTCCATTTTATAGAAAAACCACATCTTCTTTATCTAGTTTCCAACTGATGGGTAAATGGACTGTTTCCAAGTTTTAGCTATAAATGTTGGCGGGGTTGTGGGGAGAAAGGAACCCTTCTCCATTGTTGGTGGGAGTGCAGACTGGTGCAACCACTATGGAAATCAATATGGAGATACCTCAAAGAGCTGGACTAGAGGTTCCATTTGAACCAGCCATTCCTCTGCTGGGTATCTTTCCCCAAAAATTAAAAGAATCCTATCACAGTGATATATGCACACCTGTTTATAGTGGCACAGTTGGTAATAGTTTTCTATATTTAACAGTCAAATTTTAGTTTTGAAACCAATTTATTAGTGAAAGTTCCCACTTTTCCTCCCTTCCTTCCTTAATTCATCTCTGAGTCAGTTATTTATTTTTACAAAGTTAGAGACGACTGCATTTGAAGCTAGTATGTAGTTTATGTTCAGATGAGCTTCTTCCATATTTCATTTGTTTTCTGGATTTGGGTCTTGTCCAGTGAGGATACCAATTACTAGGTCCCATATTCCCCAGCAACCAAGAAAAACAGATTAGATGGAGTCAAGACTGCTCAGGTTAGACAGGATCGCTTCAAGTTCAAGGTCAACCTGGACAACAAAGTAAGATCCTGTCTCAGGAAAACAAATATAAATTGCTCAGAAGAAATGGGACACCTGACTTTCATTCATCTCATACGACCACCAACTTGGGACTGCTTCTTGGGTATGAGTCCCTCCTCCCTGTGTCGGGTTCACTAGGCTAGTGCTGTCTACCAGAGACAGAAAGCCAGCCACAGAGGTGAGCCACAGGTGTCAACAAAAACTTTCTAGACGTTTCATTAAAAAGGTAAGGAAAAAGCAAAGAACAAGTGAAATTAATTTTAATACTATATTTAAATTTGACCACTACATCCAAAGACATATCCCTTCAATATTTAATAAATACAACAATCAATCATTCATTCACTCATTGAGTCTTTGAAATCCAGTAGTAGTATTTGCTTAAAAGTGCATCAGGGAGGGGAGGAGAGAGGGAGTGACAGAAGATGAAAAAAGCAATTGGGATGTGTTATGTACATGTAACATCTCTACACAAGGAATATAAATATTATGTACTACAAATGTGTAGTAAAAAGTTTACAAAAAATAACAATGACCTCCTCCTTAAAAAAGCAAAGGGATCAAGGGATAGGTGGATCAGGGAGGGAGGGGAAGAATGGCAGCACATGCCTGTATTACTAGCTGCGTGGGAGGATAAGGCAAAAGACTGCAAATTCAAGGTCAGTTTGGGCAATTTAGCAAGACCCTGTCTCAAAAATAAAGTGTCATCTGAATTGGATCAAAAACCACATTTTAATTATATAACTGATAATAGAAATAGGAAGAAAAGGGCTAAAGGTCTAGGGGAAGTGGGAAGGACAGGAGAAAGGAAATAAGGGACAAGAAAAAAAGATGAGAAAAGGAAGAAATGGAAACAAAGTCTTTGTAAGCAAGGGAGGGTGGAGGAGATGAAGGGAGGGCAGGGACAAGGGGAAAAAATGAGAACCAAGATCTGTCATGTAAAGGTACAAGATCCCAATGATGAATATAACTGTACTGTATACTTTAAAAGTACCAATAAACTCAAT